CGCACACGCACACACACACACACACACACACACACACACACACACACGCGCGCGCGCGCGCGCACACGCACACCTGACGCACCCCCGCACACACAATCTTAAGTATATGATCCTATAGACATATTTACTAAACAATCAAGAGCGTATAAAGAAGGTAGGCTTCTTTATACGCTCTTGAAACAATCTATATGTGCTATATATATATATATATACATATATACGTGCATGTGTGCGTGTTTGTGTGCGTGCGTGTGTGCGTGCCTGCGTGTGTCTGTACGGCCGTGCATGTGTGTGCGCGCGAGCGTGCATGTGTGTACGCACGAGCGTGCATGTGTGTGCGCGCGAGCGTGCATGTGTGTGTGCACGAGCGTTCATGTGTGTGCGCGCGCGTGTGTGTACGCCTGTGCCGGCGCCGGCACCCAGATATCATTGCCGGCACGCAACGCCCGTTGCCGGCATATAATGATATATTGCGGCACGCGTAACCGCCCGCTGCCGGCATGTGTGTACGTTAGCTGCAGCGGCGTATACAGGGGCTCATACACATAGGAATCCTATTATACACATGCTATAATATCAGGAGTGAATCATAATAGATCTAGTGAATAATAAAATTATGAATCTATTATTTATTTATTATTCACGCCTGATAATATGCATAATATACATATGTGTAACAGGATATCTATGCTTATACATCCCCCGCTCACGCTGCTGTAGCGGGAGAGAAGGGGCTACGCCGATAGAGCTAGGTATAGATACCGATAGACACCGATAGACATCTCACCTCACCACTATGGTGTTCCAAAATAGCCATCGCGCGGCGTGCGGCTCTGCACGATTCAAATGTGCGACGTCGCGCACGACCGACCACCACCACCGACGGATAGTGTTCTGTTGTACGAATGAATAGTTTAGTTGTCGGTCAGTATAACGACCCACTGGTTATAGCGTGTTAATTACCACCCGCTAGCGGGCGCATCTCGCTCTCCCGACGGCACATCCTGTTGTGCATTTGTATTTTACTTTCCCCGGATTTTCGGGTGGGTGAACTGTGGAATTCTATACGTTCTGTGCACAGCGCGTTTGCGGAATCAACTCGTGCGGGCGTATGTTATTATAGTGTTATATATGTTATTATATGTTATATATAGTGTTATATCTGTTAGTGATTTATATAGTTTCAGAATGGTATTGTCACGTTTCGATAATGCATGATGTGAGCAAACTATCTTGGTAATTCTGTAGAGCGCCGGCGTCTCTCCGCTTGCACGCACAGTGATTTTATGGGGGTTATTATGCCCGGCGCACACGTGTTATTATGGGAATTTGTGGCAGCACGCTTGCCCGTGTAACCTGTTTGGTTATAAATAAGCAAATTGGTACCTATCGTGACAAGCTGATTGTGACTGAATGCTGTCTCAGTAGGGCTCATTAGGTCGTGAACAACAGTAGAGGGCGTCCATAGGCAGCAGGCCTGAATAAGCACCGAACAGAAATTAATTAAAAATACTCACATACTGTTACTTCGCTTACACAACATACATTTTGTTCATGTTAAATAACTACAGATTCATTCTCTATGCTCCGCTCGAAACTTTTGCCAGCTCTATGATGCGAATTTCTGCAAAGTTGTTTGAACACATTTCAAACACAAACATGACCAACCGGTCGCTGTGGCTACGCCACCTGACCGAATGTCACGAATACACAACAAGCTCAAGACCAATTTTACTCCTAATGCTTTCTAGACGTCCACGAGGCATCTAGCTTGCGTACATAATGCAAATTATTGCACTCTAGTGCCGAATTTTGGCGAAAAAAAGAGCCAAAAAATAATGCCTTTTATAGAGACGAAATAGTGAACAATTTGCTTTCTTCGTGGCGTTCCCAGTTTATGACGATTTTTTTTATACGAGAAATTTAATACGATTCGCGAAGAATTGCAGAGATCTGTGCTTTCGGAGTAATGTTCTCTAGTAATGATATGCATGCTTCCTTGCAGCAATCACGTAGCATCGACAAGTGACACAAAGGCACGCACGCACGCACACGTACACGTACAAGCGCGCACGCGCACGCACACGTACAGGCGCGCACGCGCACGCACACATTTACTGTCTCTGTATATCTTGCTATTTTTCCCCCTACCATTTTTCTCTCTCTCTCTCCCTCTCTTGCTCTCTCTCTCTCTCTAGCTCTCTCTCTCTCCGCCTGCCCATTTCCGTCTCTCTCTGTATGTCTGTCTGTCTGCCTGTGAGCGTTTTCTTATTTCTCTCTCTCTCTCTGCTCATTTCCGTCTCTCGCTGTCTCTGTCTGCCCATTTGCTTCTCTCTCTCTCTCTCTCTCTCTCTCTCTCTCTCTCTCTCTCTCTCTCTCTCTCTCTCTCTCT